TTTGTGAGAAACTCTTAGAAATTCGATTTTACTTCCTACCTATAAATTGGAGTCTCTGGCCTCGGTTTTCAACACACCATAGTTACTTTGCTTTGTGCCTCTTGGAAGAAGCTGAAAATCGTCTATGCCTTTGTGTGCAATCTTCTTCAGCCTTAGTGTGCCTCTGAGATTCTACTGTTATCTCCAACCTTTGGTGTACCCCTTTGTGGTGTTGTGGATTGAATCTCTGAGCCAAATAGAAAGTAGATTATTTGTTCATTTTAATTTCCATTCTTCATTTGTCGATTTCATTATAGTTTGGTGTTAATCCACTTACTAACTTGGTTAATTTCTTTAATTTGTAGGATGGGTTATCACTTATATTGAGTTTAATGAGCAATGTACATTATATGAGTGATTGCAAGCACCATTCACTTTGCCCCTAAAGTAAAAGTATTTGGTATATGTACCACGAAATGGTGGGTTAAGTGTCTTAACTTTTAATCGACTTATATAGTCATATCTATAGAATCACTACAACAAAAATAATATTTTGCAACGTTCAAAAAATATTGCCGAAGATATTTTGCAACGTTCGGACGTATGTTGCAAACTTCAATGTTGTCGTAGAGTGGAAATATACAACAACATTTTTTTAGCGTTGTTAATAACCTTTTTACGACGTTTTTTGAATGTTACTAATAACTTTTTTGTACAGTTTTTTAAATGTTGCTAATAACATTTTGTAATATTTGTTTGAATGTTGCCAACGATAGTTCTGCAACTTTTTTTTTGAATGTTGTCTATGTTTATATCCTTATTTTTTTGTAACATTTTTTTTTACTGTTGATGTATGTCAATTTATATTTTTTGCAACATGTCGTCTATGCCAATTTTTTTTTTTTTTTTTGAATGTTATCTATGCTTGTATCCTTATTTCACTTTTCGCAATAGTGAATAAATATTGCAAAAGGCGATATTAGCAACATTTATTTAAAAAATATTGTCAAAACTCAATTATGTTAATCAATAGTAACATTCACCTATTAGAATGTTACAATAGACTCATTTAACAACATTCAATTAACGTTGCATTTTGCTTGTTGCAATATGTCATTTTTGTTGTAATCAATACATTACACTTTAGTAGTGAGTATTCTTGATAAGCTAATTTACATAAAAGGTAGGGATTGTTCCATTTCTAAAATACCTTGACTAACTGCGTAAAACTATCAAGAAAATTTAAGATAAATGACATAATCTATTTGTGCGTGAATTATATGAATGCACACGCGGTAATCATGTCCTACGATAAATGACGTATGGCATTCATGACGTCAGCACTTCATTTCTAATCAATCCAAAATTAGTATTGATTGCCTATGTGACCAATAATCATGACCAAGGCCACCATTACGATCTAGACCTCATGATGACTTGCTTGGCCGATCTCATCAACCAATTAGAAACATTAAAAGTAGGAGGTAACACGAATTTTTAGGTTAACATTGTAGCAGATATGACGCTAAATGACTAAGTCGCTTGATTTCAAGACGCATAAATACAAGCAATCCAAACATATTTATAGAAAAAAGTTACTTGAAACTTAAAAACCATATAATACCAAACACCAACCATAACCATCAACCTATACGCGTTTCATGTATTCTCGTACAACAACACAACACTTGATAATATTTTATTTTTTCCAATAGAAAAGAATTGTTTTGTTTGCCATGCAATTGAGTGTATCGTAAATTCGACTCCATTCATATCCGTCTCTCTCGCTCTAAAATTCGGGCGGAGAGAAAGAGAAAGAGAAAGATTTTTCAATTTTCATCAAATCATAATACAATTATTAATCTCATCTATCAGATTATACAAATTTTTATAAATGGATCAGATACTTAGCAAGGTAGGTTCATACTGGTTGGGTCAAAAAGCAAGCAAGGAAATGAACTCCGTCGGCAATGATATTAATGTAAGAATCTGTATTTTTATTTTATTTATCTGAATTGACAATTTTGTAATTGCATTTTCTCGAT